TGTTACCTGGAGGAAGGGCCTCTCCTCCCCTGCAGAGGGGTCCATGAGCGCCACATGCCCAGCCCTCCCTGCCCTGACCCAGCGCAGGCTCAGTAGCTCTCGCGATCCACGCTGGCCTGAGGGGCAGACTGAGGCCTGGCTGCTGTCAGACTGGAGCCCTCTCTGCCCAAGGGAGTCCCTTCTCCTCCGCCCTGGGGGTGTGTGGCCACCATTGCCAGGCCCACCGGCTCCCACAGACGCCTGAGGGGCTGGGTTGCTAATAAGACGCAGCTCTGTCTACGGTGGAAGCCCGGTTTCCCATCTGTCAGGCCCAGCCACAGCGTGGGGACCAGACAGGGCGAGACTGGAGCTCAAGGGTCCAGGGGCAGGGTCTGGGGTGTGGGCGTGTCTGGGTTGTGCAGGAGGGAGTGGCCAACCGGGGACAGCTGCAGACTTCCCAAGGGCCAAGGGCTCGAGGGGACACAGGCGGCTACCTCTGCATCATAGGGGCTCCGGCCGGCTGACACAATCATCCGCTCCTGGGCTTCTGGGACTTCATGGCCTGCGTGGGCCCTGTCCCTTCAGTTCAGAGCCTTTGCCTGCTGGCGTTCGAGCTCCGCAGACCCCGTGCTTACCCATGCATGCGCCCCAGCCTCGGACCCTGTGCCTGACTGTGCACGCGTCCCAGATCCACAGACCCTGCGCCTGCCCGTGCATGCGTCCCAGCCCTCGGACCCTGTGCCTGACTGTGCATGCGTCCCAGCCTCGGACCCTGCGCCCGCCCGTGCATGCGTCCCAGCCCTCGGACCCTGTGCCCGCACACGTGTCGGCTCATGGTCTCCATGGAGTCCAGGCCAGTGCCGCTCAGAAAGAGTGGAGCTGCGGCCTGGGCAGAGGCGGGTGCCCAGCGCAGAAATGTTCTGAGCAAGTCCGCAGCCGAGATCCATAACTAATTACACTGCCTGGAGTTTAACGGAAAAAATCGACATCAACAGCCAAGCAGCAGCCTCCGCGCGACAGGCGGGATGGCAGCTGCTCCCGGCGGGCAGCACAGTCTGTCCCGGCGCCAAGCCAAGCGCGTGTCCCCGTCTCTCCCAGCAGCTGTGCACGCTCAAAAGGGACTTCAGGCACCTGGCTGGCCATCCAGCCTGCAGTGTCCGCAGCCAGAGCCCATCAGACCCCAACAGCACTGCACGTGCCCACGGCCGCCCAGGTCACTCCAGATCCCGCAGCGGTCAGGGCCGCCTGTTCTTGTGGCGCCTGGCTCTGAATCAGCCGCTCGTGCCAGGCAGCAGCATAGGGAGGGGGCCACCTCCTGTCCCCTGGATGAGGCTGTGGACACGGGGGCCACGAAGGCCGCAGGATGCCGAGGAAGGGAGGCCTGGAGAAGTCCCTTCCTGCCGGGCCCGGGGGCAACACCCACTTCCTGGCTCAGCTTCCAGTGCAGTGTGGTTGCGCTGGCCATCTACAGTGATGACCACTGCCGCGGGCATCTCCCCAGGACAGCCCACACAGGCAGGGCCACACCAGGCGGGTTAGGGTTAGAATCAATGTTTCGGGCCCAGAGAATTTGGGATAACGCTCTGTGACCACACATGTCCAGAGTTCGGGAGCTGATCTCTGCCTCTGCAGGGACCGCAAATCACCCTCAGGCCTGACCGGGGGGTTCAGGAAGCCACAGAGGGTTTCCTCTGGATAACAGGGCAGCTGAGTGAGAAGCAGTACAGTGGGTGCTGGGTGTACCCTGGGGGTGGGCACAGCACATGGGGGGTCACAGCACAAAGCATCCTGTGGGGCTCACGGCACATCTGGGGGTCACAGCACATCTGGGGGTCACAGCACATCTGGGGGTCATGGCACAAAGCATCCTGTGGGGCTCATGGCACATCTGGGGGTCACAGCACATCTGGGGGTCATGGCACAAAGCATCCTGTGGGGTTCATGGCACATGGGGGATCACAGCACATCTGAGGGTCAAGGCATCTGGGGGTCACGGCACACCCCCGGGAACTGGCCCAGCAGGTGACTCCTGCCCCCCACGTCCTGGGCCCCGGGGGCTCCTGGCCTGCCCACTACAGCAGGCAGCGCACACGTCACCAGCTCATGGAGAAACTGCAGTCCTTCCCGTGACGACCGCAGCTGAGGCAGTCACGGCTCCCACAAGGTGGGGGCTCCTCTGTCGGCTCAGTGTGAGGCTAGGGCCACACGGCGTGGGAAACGTGGTGCCCGGGGACGGCCGTGAAGAGCAGTGGGGGCGGGCTGTGTGCCATGCGCTGGGGTCCAGTCCCGCTGCCCACGCTGTCCCTCCTCTGGCATCCTGGGGCTGCCCGGCCTCCCGGCCTCAGGCTGCAGGCTCCTCTGCAGCAGACGGGACCTGGTGTCAGCCAGGACACTGCACGTCCCTGAGTGTCTGCGCCTGTGGTCAGCAGGAAACTGCCCCTAGAGGCCCCAGAGACCCCAGAGACCCCTGAGACCCCAGAGACCCCCAGAGATCCCCAGAGACCCCTCAGATTCCCCAGAGACACCCAGAGACACCCCTAAAGATGGCCTAGATGCCCTTAGAGACCCCCCAGAGGCACCTAAGTTGCCCTCAGAGACCCCCTGGAGTTGCCCTAGAGTCCCCCTTGGAGACCCCTAGAGATCCCCTGAGACTCACATGTTCTCGCCCACCCCCCCTTGAACGTGCACACAGGGGATTTACAGGTGTGGCTGAGGACCCGAGGTGGGGGCTGTCCTGGGTTGCCTGGGTGGGAGACCCCATCTCAGACCCCAGGCAGAGTCTGAGATGAAGCAGAGGCCAGAGCCACGAGTTTGGGAGGGCAAGGGGCAGGCTCCAGGGCAGAAATGGGTCCTTCCCACGTCTCCGAGGGAGACAGCCCGGCCGACACCTCCATCCGAGCCCCAGGGACGCAGCTTGACAGTGCTGCGGAGCTGTGGGGGAGTTCTCACTGCCTGGAGCATGCCTGTTCTCGGTGTTTGGTTCCTCCTTATGTGGCAGCTGCTGTGGCAGCGCAGGTGCTCCCGGGCACCCCTCACTTGGGCGCACAGGAAAGGGCGCTCGGTGAGGAGGGACAGCGTGGCAGAGACTAAAGCCAAACGCCGCACCATCTGCCTCCCTTGCTAGCACACCTGGGAGGCCCAGAAGCTGCCCTGGCCAGACTCGGCTAGGGTCTGCCCCAGGCACGTGTGCGCTGCTAGGGGCTGCTGCCGCCCACTGCACCCGTGCCGGGGAGTGCTGTGTGCCGAGAAACTCCCCAGGGGCTGCTCTCGGGACTCACGTGTCTGCTCAGCACCTGCTACCGTTCCACAAGCACCAGGCTCCTGACAAACGTCCCCAGCAAGCGGACACAGGAGCAGAGACTACGCTTTCACCAGGCCCGGCGCAGTGTCAGCCCGACACCACGAGCCCTGCTGACACCTGACACCAGGAGTGGCACTGATACCTCACACCAGGAGTGGCGCTGACTGACACCTCACACCAGGAGTGACGCTGACTGACACCAGGAGTCCTGCTGACACCTCACACCAGGAGTGATGCTGACTGACACCTCACACCAGGAGTGGTGCTGACAGCTGACATCAGGATACACACTGACTGACACCAGGAGTCCTGCTGACACCTCACACCAGGAGTGACGCTGACTGACACCTCACACCAGGAGTGGCGCTGACACCTCACACCAGGAGTGGTACTTACACCTCACACCAGGAGTGGTACTGAGTGACACCTCACACCAGGATTCACACTGACACCAGGAGTCGTACTGACACCTCACACCAGGATTCACACTGACTGACACCAGGAGTCCTGCTGACACCTCATTCCAGGAGTGGTGCTGACTGATACCTCATACCAGGAGTGGCGCTGACAGCTGACACCAGGATTCACACTGACTGACACCAGGAGTCCTGCTGACACCTGACATGAGGATTCACACTGACAGCCGATACCAGGAGTGGCGCTGACTGACACCCGACACCAGGATTCACGCTGACACCTGACACCAAGTCACCCTGACTGACAGCTACACCAGGAGTGGCGCTGACACCTACACAGTTGGGTGTAAGGCAGAGTGCCTTCCTGTCTTCCAGAGCTCCCTGCTTCCAGCTGCCGCTGTCCGGTCTCTGCGCTGGGCCTGCCAGCGTCCTGGTACCTGTGCATTTCCTCCAGAGGTGTGTGTGCAGACAGCGCCCTTCTGCACCACGAGCCAAAAAGCCCAGAGTTTTTTCACCAGGTCCCTCTGAAGCCAAGGCCACCACGCTTGCACCCGGGGAGACCTGGGGAGGCCGCTGCATGACCCGGCGGGCTGGAGGCCCTAACCCACATGTGGCCACCCTTTACCAGGAACATGGGCTGCTCCGGGCAGCTCAGCCACTGGGCACATGACAGGGGGAAGCCCGCTAGGACGTAACCCTCCCGACCCTTACAATCGGTCTCATTTCTGCAGAGCCATCTTTCAAAGCCTCAGTCCGCTCCGCTCTCTGGGCTGCGCCCCCAGCAGCTGCAGGGGGGCGTCAGCAGCCCGGGCAGAGCCTTCCTGGGGCAGCCCCATGTCTGAGGGCCACGCTCAGCCCCTGCGGACACCGCCGCAGGCTCCCCTCTGATCCACCTACCCTGAACGCCCCGGGGCGCCTGCGGCCCGCCCCTCCTGCAAGCCCGCAAACCCCAAACAGCCTCCCAGGCCGGCAGGCAGGACACGCGAGAGGGCGGAGGCAGCCACGACCCGCCTCGGGTGGGCCCGACTCTCCAGACCCCATGGACAGCTCCGTAAACCACCAAGGCCCGACGAGCTGCTGGCAGGTGGACAGGGCCTAGGGTCTGGAAACAATCTGCGGCTCCCCCGATGTCCGCGGCAGCAAGACCGCGTTCGGGCCACTACTGCAGAGTGAGTGAAAGGCGGCCCGGAACCCGTGTACCCACCCGAGCCCTGCCACGCCGCCGTGTCCTCCTCGCCGCCTGGAACCCGCGTGCCCTCCCCTGGCCCCGCACCCTCACCACGCCCCTTCGCCGCTGGGCTCACCCGCTCCTCCTCCGCGCGGATGTCCGGCATGGTGCTCAGGCACAGGCCCACGGCCGTGACGGCCACGAAGGCCACCGAGACACAGGCGAAGAGCTTGCCCGCCGGGCCCGAGCGCGGGTTGTCCACCACGTCGCGCAGGCGCTGCCGGCCGCGCTCCAGCCGCCCGGGCTGCAGGGCGCACGCCGGGCTCTGCTGCGCGCTGTGCGCCGCGGGCTCCGCGCGGGCCTCGGCCGCCTCTTCCTCACGGCGGCGCAGGCGGCGCAGGCAGCAGCGCTCCAGGCGCGCCTCGTCGATGCCCCAGTAGGCCAGCTCGTCGCGGAAGGCGAGCGCGCACGGGCCGCGCAGCAGCCGCAGCTTGCCGGCGCGCAGCAGCGCCACGATGGCGCGGAAGGCGCACGCGCTGCGATCGAAGAAGAACTCGTCGCGGCTCGCGTCGTAGTCATCACACACACGTAGCAGCTCGTCGTGGCCATGGCAGTCCCGCAGGCGCGCAAGGCGCGCGAGTGGACAGCGCGCCAGAGCCGCCCAGGCCAGGCGCACACGGCAGCCACCCACGTTGATGATGACGTGTCGCGCGCGGCTCGTGCCTCCTCCGTCCCGGGACGCCGCGGGTCCCCGAAGCAGCGCCATGGCCTCACGCGTCCACTGAAGGGCGGTCCGCCGAGGTCGCAGCGCCGGGCCAGGGTCCGGAGACCGGGCCTGCAAAAAAAAGTGAGCACCTGTTAGAACCTTGGCCACGCGGGAGCCGCGGCCGGAGACGGAGGCGCGGGAGCAGGCCGAGGACGTGCGCCGCGCCGGCCACCGCCTCTTCTCTCCATACCTATGCGCGCGCTCAGGGGCGACCTGGCCTCTGTGCAAGGGTCAGTGTGGGTCAATCACACCCTGACCCACGTGTGTGACGCTCTCAGGAGTGGGCTGCGGAACCAGAGGCAGCGGCCCCAGAGACCCGGCTCCAGACGCACGCAGGGGGAACGAAAAGGAAGAACTAAAACGTAAAAAAAGATGTAAGACACGAAGAAAATGTAATGAGCCAGGGTTTTGGCGCCGCGGCTAAGGCACCACTCGGGGCGCCCGTGTCCCCTACGGTGCCTGGGCTGGGGTCCCCGCTATAATCCCAGTTCCAGCTTCCTGCTAATGCGCTCGCCGGGAGCAGCCGTGATGACGCAAGCACGTGGGTTCCTGCTGTTCCCAAGGGGCCCGACCAGGAGCCTGGCCTGGCCCCGCCCCAGCTGTTGGCGTTTGAAGCAGTGGGAGTGTCCCTCTCCCTCTCCCCCTCCGGCTTTAAAAGGCAAAAAAGAAACAGCAAACTGGCAGAGGCCCTTCCTAACCCGCCATCACCTTACATGCAAACGGGTTCCATTCCACAGTGAACCCAAGGCCATGCTGTCTGTAGAAGACTGCACATATCTGAAGAAAAATCCACCGGAAATAAAATGATTGAAAAAGACCTGGAGTGGCCAGACAACACCTAAGAAAACAGATTCTCAGATGAAAATTCTGAAAGACAAAGAACGGAATTATGATGAGAAAGATACAAACAGCCGTATGTTATACAGCATATATACGAATAAATGTTCTAAAAACACATAAAGTACCAGAACTCTTCTCAAAGAGAAACAGAAAATCTGAATAGACCTGGAGGAAAGAGAGAGATTGGGGCCGGCACTGTGGCGTAGCAGGTAAAGCCGCCATCTGCAGTGCCGGCATCCCATATGGGCGTTGGTTTGTATCCTGGCTGCTCCACTTCCGTTCCAGCTCTCTGCTATGGCCTGAGAGAGCAGCAGAAGATGGCCCAAGTCCTTGGGATCTGCACCCACGTGGGAGACCCGGAAGAAGCTCCTGGCTCTGGCCTGGCCCACCCCAGCCATTACAGCCATGTGGGGAGTGAACCACTGGATGAACTCTGAGTTTCAAATAAATAAATACTCCTTTAAAAAAGAAAAAGAAAAAGAAAAAAAAGAAAGATAGAGATTGAATCAATGACTAAAACCACTCTGAAACAGAACACTCCAAGACAGAATGGCTTCACTGGCAAATTCTACTAAATATCTAGAAGAATCCATACCATACTCCTCAAAGTTGCACCAAACGTAGATGAGGAGGGAACACTTCCGAACTCGTTCTCTTGGAAGACACGAGACTCCACAGAAGAGAAGATGGCAGAGGTCGCTCGTCAGTACAGTGCAGAACACCGACAAAACACCAGCAGCTGTCCCTCGTCTATACGGACGCAGAGGCCTCAGCGCAACCCCAGCGAGCCCCATCCGGCGGCAGACGAAGTGGCACATGCAGTCACGTGTCACAGGCGTTTATCACAGGGACGGAAGGCTGATCCGGCAAGCACGAGCTAACCAGCGTGACACACGTGTGCAGAGCACGGAGGAACACACTTCAGCAGTGTAGAAGAGGGATCCGTGGACTCGAACCCTGACCCACGTGTGTGACGCTCAGTGACCGGGGCTTCCCCCATGTGATGCAGGCCACCTGTGGACCCCATGCCGCCCTCAGGTCGGCGGTGAAAGTCCAGAGCCTTCCCTGAGAGATCAGGGAGACGGGAGCGTTGCTCTCGTCACTTCCGCTTTACGCTGCCTTGGTCTGGGAAATTAGACAAGAAAGGGAAATTCTCGTAAGAGGCGACTAGACTGGAATGAGGAAGTGAAATTCTGCCTGCAGGTGATTTGACCTTATATATGGAACGCATGAAAGGAGCCACACACAGAAAACTATTACAGCGAGGTCGGCAAAGCTGCAAGACGCAACAGCAAGACTTGAAAACCAGCAATAAACAACCTAAACATGAAATGGAACACTCAGGACTGCATTTGAGAAAGTGAGAAGTACAAAATCCTGCTGGGAGGAATTTTGGAAGACCTAAATGGGAAGACAGCTCACGTTCCATACTGGAAGATTTAATATGTTGATATGGCAACGTTTCCCAGATTGGTCAGTAATCCAACCACACAAAAACCCCAAGTGTGTTTTCTGGAAATTGACGGTTGATCCTGAAAGCCAATTGGAAGTACAAGGGAGCCAAAACATCAGGAAAAAGAACAAACTGGAGGACTCAGCCTTGGTCCCACCAAGTCCACAGCCACGGCGAGCAGAGCGGGTGCTGGCTGGGGAAGACCCGAGTCCACGGAACAAACCCTGTCACTGGGCGGCCGAGGCCCCCCCGGGGGAGACAGCAGCAAGTGGTGCTGGGCACAGCATGGGCAGAAGGGGCCTCAGAGCGCACCAGACGTTACCGCGAGAGCTGAACTCCAGAAGCAGGCGTAGAGCCAGGGTTTTCTGAACTGACACCAAAGCCCTTCTGTGCCTCGGAGGACACTAGCGAGACGACGCAATGGTGACTCGAACACAGTTCACAAGTTCTAGCGAGTGGGATTAACGGTTTCGAGACAGGTGAGGGTCTACTCCAGATTACACAGGAACTCTTAGGGTTACTCAGAAAAAGACAACCCGATTCAGAAATGGCCACAAGTCACTGACCCACGGCTGGATGGCATTGCCCGCCCGTGAGGACGGCTGTCATCAAACAGATGGGGGAAACAGCACGTGTGTGTGTGGGGGGGGGGGGCTGTGGGGACAGGGATTGGCTCACTGTGACCTCGGAAGCAAGTGTGCCGCGGGGAAGGGGGGGGTGGCCTGTGCCTCCATTTGCTCATCCTTATCTCAGAGCCCCTCCCACCCCGCACACGGGCAGGGCAGAAGCAGGGCTGCAGGGGAGAGAGACAGCAGCCAGCAGCCGCAGGCGGTCTCAGCAGGGGAAGCCAGCATCCCTACGGGGCCCCAGGCTGCTGCGGCCCCTCTGCCCTGCCTCCAACAGGTGCGACAGGTGCGCCTCGGCCTTGCAGTCCACAGCGGGCTGAAGGCCCCACACTGGGACTGCGACAGCAGGCCTGTGCTCTAGCACGCAAGGTGGCCGCTCCTCCCTGGAGCCCCGAGCTCTAGGAGGCCTCCCTCGGCCACTCCCACCTTTCCTTCCTCCCGTTCCTGGGACAGGAACAGGCTCATGGCTCTTCCAGCCAGATCCAGGTGGAGCTGCAGCTCGCCTGGGGCTCAGGCCCGAATCGTGTGTCCCGGCGTGCACACGCGTTACAGGACGTCAGCTCCTCCGGTAGGGAGGCAGACATCAGCGCGTGGAGCGGGGGGAGCTCCCGTGGGCAGGAAGCAGCAGCCTCAGCGGCAGCTTTGAAATCCACCAGATCTGTACATCCCAAGTCCCAAGTCCCGCCACTCCATAACCCTGGGGCTTCCAGCCTCCTCCCTCCTGGTGCCAGATACAGCCCTAGGCGGAGCCTCATGCCCGCAGCCCTCGCCCGGCACCGCCCCAGGAGAGGAGGGGGCAGGAGGCTGCGGGAAGCAGGGTGCTCCGTGCCCGGAGAATCCCGGACCCCTGCGGAGCAGCCCTGTCCGGGAACAGCTCCATCAGACCTCGCAGCGGCTTGCTGCTCGGCGCTGGCTCACGGCTGAGATTCTCGTGGGGCACGAGCACCTGCGTTCCTGACGTCTCGGGTAACAGGAAAGTGAATTTACAAATGGAAACTGAACCACAGAGAAGTAAGTACCGGCAGGCTCCTGGGAGCTCTGGACAACAGGTTACAGAGTACGTAACAGACACAAAACAGCAGCAGGCGAGGGCCGACCGAGCGAGGTGCCCACGTCCCCTGCTCCAGCTTCCTGCCGACGCAGACCCTGGGAGGCAGTGGTGACGGCTCAACCGGCTGGGTCCCTGCCACCCACGTCAGACACCCACACTGAGTTCCAGGCTCCCGGCTCCAGCTGGCCCAGCCCTGGCTGGTGCAGGTATTTTGGGGATTGAACCAGCAGATGGGTGCTGTCTGCCCCTCAAATAAATAAATAACATGAGAAAAAATAATATAAAGAAATCCCAGAATCTGAATGAGAAACAAATCATCATTGACAGATGCTCTCGCTCCGAGCGGCATCTCCCAGAAGGCCCTGCAGAGTCAGCAGGGGGCAGCAGGAAGCCAGGAGAAGAGGCACAGGGAGGGTTCCGCGAGATCCAGAACAGGACGGGGTGCGAGAGACGGGCGGCCGCGCTGATGGGGTCTCTGGCCCTCGTCTGCTGTGGGGGAGCCCGGAGCCTGTAGCATGTGGAATAAGGGACCTTCCGCGTCCCTGGCATGGAAAGGTACCCTGCCGTGTCTCCCAGGACTCCGGCTCGAGTCCCTGAGCCACTGTGGCAGACGGAAGCAGCTCTCACGTGAGGCAAACCTGTGAGAGGCTGGGGCCGGGCTGCTCTGTGCCTCATTCTGCTGCAGCCCCACCTCGCTGGGCCACAGCCAAGGTCACACACGGCCAGCAGCACCTGGAGCCACAGCAAGAGCCCACGTCTCCGAGGGGCCACGGGAGGCAACGCCCTGTGTGTGTGTGTGCCAGAATGTGCATATGTGGAGCATGAGCGTACACACTAGCACATGCAAGCCATCCCCTCACACGTGTGCATGCGTGTACATGTGTGCATGTGAGTGAGGTGTGTGTAGAGTGAATGAGTGCATATGTGTGGATCATGTGTACTGTGTGTGAGCATTCATGTCAGCGTGTATATTGTGTGTGCGTGAGTGCCTGTGTGTGGAATGTGTGCACTGCGTGTGAGCATGTGTCAGCGTGTGTATAGTGAGTGCCTGTGTGTGGAATGTGTGCACTGCGTGTGAGCATGTGTCAGCGTGTGTATA